AGTTTTCTTTCGGTTGAGGTGCAATCCACCCTGCAGACTGCAGTCTTTCTTCTTCATCAGTAGGTTTGGCAACTCGTCTTCCCTTTCTGCAAACAAGACGATGACATGTGCAGATTGCAGTTGATTGGCTCAGCACACACATGGAATAAGTATGGTCAAAGCATACAAGGCTGATGCAGAGCCTTCCTGACTGGAAAATTCGCAGCCTCCCCTGGGTCTGTTCAAAGAAGATGGATGGATACAGTGGCTGACACAACAGGCTGAAGCATAGCAAGTATTTGGAGAATTGAAGAAAACCCAGCAGCAGTTCTTTCTGTTCTCCAGAGGCCGGTCATGATTGCCAATGGAGCTCTGCTGGAGTAGTGCTTAAGGCAGTTGACTGCTGACCAGCAGGCGGGCCCTTCAAACCCACTGGCCACTCCTCAGGAGGAAGTTTGGGTAATCTACTTCCGGAGTGATATCACCTCTTATACCTACGGAGGTGTTGCTATGATTCGGGTCCCTGTCTGTGGCAGTGTGTTGGGTTTGTTTGGAACTACACCTAGAACAGAACGGTTGGCACCTCACTAATGAGTTGATGTCACTGCTTTTACAAAATGAAAAGAAGACAAAAGGAAATGGAAGGGATTGACATTTTTTGTGAATTTTTTCTTTAGCTCCAAGGAGTCATTGCCACCTATTTGATCCAACTCAGAGGAATTTTCAAAATGCTAACAGTGATGACATTTTGTAGCCAAGCAACTCTGGTGCTGGGGGATTTTGTCGCTCGACGCAGTGAAATGGATCTAGGGTCACACATCTCCTTCCCACACATTCAATTAGAAAAGACACAAAATCCACCTGAACTCTCGCCACCATGGTTCCAAATGACCGACCCTAACAGACACCCCAATTAGCACAGATATGTGTGACCTCTGACTTGCATATAGGTGTTGATCACACCCACCCGTGTCAACCCTCTCCCGCCTCCAGGGTCCTTACAGGCTTTTAGAAGTTGCCACTTGACCTGAAGGGAAAGGTCTCAGAGAGAGAAAGG